CTTAATTTCTAGTGCTTGATTGATGTCAAACTTTCTTTGTACAAGTAATATATCTTCTAGGAACTTGTGAACCGTGTGACGATATCGTCGATAACTCGATATGCATAAGGATGGCGAAAGGTACCCTGAACCTAACGTACGTGCACCAAACATGTCGGGTCCCTGCTTGTGGTTGGAGAGTTTATTGCTGGCTGACAATGCCATTATAACTGGCTTTTATGCTGGGAACAATCCTCCAATCTTTTTCTAACGGCGTACGCACTCTTTTAACTATGTCACCATTTAATGATGCAAGGATTCATCAGGTTGCACTGTTTGTTGGCCATTTGGCCACGTGACAGAGATGCTAGCAAGGGCCCCGAACAACCGAGTCAGCATTACCTGGTCAGAAAATCCAAAAATTAATGCCCTTAGTCTTAAAAATATTTCATCCACAAAATGTAGGATATCGCCATTTTAGGGGTTCACTGCTACAAAAGCCTCTTATAATAACAGTTAATTGATTAAACTGTTGCTATTAGAGCTTATTCATACGGTTATTATAAAATCTGATTTTTTTTTCTTTCTATTTGAAACAGTTGTACGTCAACTATATCTTAATTAAATTAAAAAATAGATATTTTTATTAAAATTATGGTGGGAACTAAATGTTTTGGTCAAAATGGGGGGGGGGCGAATTAATTAAGGAAAGAGAGAAAGGGCCGGTGATTTTATTCTCGCCTCCAAAACCGCCGCTCCCTTCACCTCTCACACCGCGACCTCCTCAAAGCTCTGGCCTTCTCAGCCCGGCGACGAGAACTCCTCCGCTCTCGAGCATGGTGTCCTCTCGCTCATGGCAGCCGTCCCAGCCCTTGACGAGACGCCCCCCCCCCCCCCCGCGCTCTCATCCTCCCACCTGTTTTGTACGCGTGCCGAGGAACCAAATCAAACGTCGTTCGAGAAGGTAAAACCAACCAAATCAATGCACAAACACAAAACACCAATTTTAACATGGTTCGACAATTGCCTATGTTCACGGGGCAAGAAGGAGGAGGTGTTTTACTATTACAGAGAGAGAACACAAAATAGAGATTACAAATCACTCAAAACTCTCAAATAAATCTCTCAAACAAAAGCTCTCAATCCCTCACCAACTGCTCTCACAAGAAAGCTCCAAATAACCCCTGATCTACCTTGCATACAACTCTAAAAACGTGTGTTTGTATTTATAACAAAAATCAATCCCAAAGCGAACAGGAAACAAAAGCCCAAAGCCCAGCAGACTCGCGGTCGACCACGACGGTCGACCGTGACGTTTGGTCG